TAATAATTACTTACTAATCTTACTAATCTATTATCTACTTATCGTTATACGAGAATAGATATATAAGAAAATAAATATATATATTCGAATATCTAGTTAAAGTTATAACTACTATATACGCCCCTTTTCTTTCTCGCTACTCGAAATCTCGATTACGGAAGTAAGTTCTTAGCTACTATTTCCGCGTATTTATAATTACGATAGTAGACGATTACGACTTAGAAGACTTAAACGAGAAGAAGTCTCGTATCTAGGAGTTAAAGTCCGTCTAGAGCGACGTTAAGTAGAATCCGAGAATAAAGCTAACGTTTCGAATATAGTAACTAAGAGACCTCTTAAGCTAAAAGACTTCGAACTATATATTAGAAGAGTTAGTTATCTAAAGAGAGTTAGAACTTTTAATATATTAGACTCTACGAAGACTTTAAGTATTCGTTAGTTTTTTATAAGTAGTTAAGATATTACGCTCGGCTATTAAGAAGAGTTATTATAATCTTTATCTTAACGACTATTAATCTCTATATCTAGTAAATTAAGGTTAGATTTATCTTTATCTTCGAAATACTCTATTATATTACTAATATAGTCTAGTTAGAGTACTAAATTGTCGTTATTATAATCGTTATATAAAATTATCGATTTTTTCTATTTCTTAAAGGCTTCGAGTTAGTAAAAGGAGTCGCGAAGGCTATTTTTATTAAGTATTATAAATATTATAAGAAGTCGAATTATATCGCTCTTTAAATAATAATAATAATACGAGACGAAGTCTCTTATTATATTAAATAATTATTTAAGACTAACTCTAGTAGCTAGAATAGTAAAATAGTCTTAAGCGATCTTCGCTAATATTGAAAAGTAATCTTCGTTCTTCTTCTACTAATTAAGAATATCGAAATCTATATCTTAATAATATTAGCTTTCTATATTTAAGCGGTAGTAGAGTACTTATACTATTAAATCTCTCTATCTTCTTCTTTAAGTATTTTTTAAGTTCTAAATTACTCGATATACTTCGTCGTTCTCGAGATAATTAAGTAAAGAGACGAGAAAGGTTCTAATCGTCGGATTAATTATTTATTAATCTAATTACTTAAAATAGTACGAATACTAGAAAATATATCTAGAGTAATAGTAAAGTATATAATATAAAGTATAAAGCGTCGAGTATATTATCGTCTAAAGAGAGTATTTAACTAGAACTTAATATCGAGAGAGTCGATAAATTAGAGCTATCTTAAGAAAGTAAGGGCTAAATCTCCCTATCTAAAGTATTTAAATAGAGTATATTTAGATAATTAATATATTTAGTTTTCTATTTATATATTAGTAATATAATAATCTTTATAATAAATAATACTATATTTATAGTATACTACTATCTTCGTACTTTTACGACTTCGTCTCGAACGTTATCGCCTTCTAGATAGGATAGAGGATCGTTATAATACTATATACGTATCTAAGTATATCGCTTATCTTTATATAGTATTTAA